GCTCCGCCATTTTTAAAACCCCGCTGGTTCGAACCCCGTGCAGCGCGGCTACACGGGGCTCAAACTAGGTAGTTTGAACTAGGATTCCTATTCCAAACTACCGGTACACCTCGTGGCAGCTCCCCGCTTATGCAAATGAAGCCCGGGAAATTCAAATCCCGGGCTTCATTTGCAAGTGCGGTATGCCTACATTACCCTCCTAGTTCGAACTAGCGGGGTAGTGTAGACATACCCCCCGAGATGATCCCTTGGGCCCTATTTATACTCTCCGGCTACGTCTACACTGGCATGATTTTCTGGAAATGCTTTTAAAAATGCTGTTAAAAGCATTTTCAGAAAAGCGTGTCTAGATTGGCAGGACACTTTTCTGCAAATGCACTTTTTGCGGAAAAGCGTCCGTGGCCAATCTAGACGCGCTTTTCCGCAAAAAAGCCCTGACCGCCATTTTCGCGATCGGGGCTTTTTTTGTGGAAAACAAATCTCTGCTGTCTACACTGGCCCTTTTGCGCAAAAGTTTTTCGGAAAAAGACTTTTGCCCGAACAAGAGCAGCATAGTATTCCCGCAAAAGCACTGACAATCTTACATGAGATCGTCAGTGCTTTTGCGGAAATTCAAGCGGCCAGTATAGCCAGCTGGCAAGTTTTTCCGGAAAAAAAAGTGGCCAGTCTAGACACAGCCTCCTAATGCAAGAAAAAAGGGATATTTACTGGTGGCTACGTCTACACTGGCATGATTTTCCAGAAATGCTTTTAACAGAAAAGTTTTCTGTTAAAAGCATTTTCGGAAAAGCGTGTTTAGATTAGCAGAACGCTTTTCCGCAAAAGCACTTTTTGGGGAAAAGCGTCCGTGCCAATCTAGACGCGGTTTTCCGCAAAAAAGCCCCGATCGCCATTTTCGCGAATGGGGCTTTTTTGCGGAAAACAGTCCTGTGCTGTTTACACTGGCTGTTTACACTGGCCCTCTTGCGCAAATGATTTGTGCAAGAGGGCTTTTGCCTGAACGGGAGCAGCACAGTATTTCCGCAAGAACACTGACAATCTTACATGAGAGCGTCAGTGCTCTTGCAGAAATTCAAGCGGCCAGTGTAGACAGCTGGCAAGTTTTTCCGCAAAAGCAGATGATTTTGCGGAAAAACTTGCCAGTCTAGACACAGCTGGTATGTCTAGGCTGAAATTTATCACTTGGCTGGCCTGGGTCGGCTAACTTGGGGTCGCTGGGCTCAGGCTATAGGCTAAGGGGCTGTTTAACTGCAGTACAGACATTGGGGCCTGGGCTGGAGCCCAACCTTGGGATTCTACGATGAGGGAGGGGCTGTTACCCTCAGAGGGAGTTCTGTGATGCTCAAAAGCTGGTCCCTTCTACCAATAGATATTAGTTCTCTATAAACTATTACCTCACCCCTCGCCTCTCTGATATCCTGGGACCTACACTACCACACTGTGAAGTAAGGATGTTAAATAGAGGTTAATAAGCTAATTGAGTAATCTATTGAATTTCCATTGACTACTCGATTAGTCAGTGAGGGAGTTTGCTGCAGCTCTGCTTTTTAAATGTAGTAAGAGCCGTTAGTAAAAAGCAGAGCTGCAGTGGTCTGGGACTGGGCACAAGCCAGGACAGCTGAGTACTGGCTCGCATCAGGCCCCTTGCTGCGCCTCTGCATGGCTCCTTCCCTCCCCCCCCACGGAGATGGTGCTGGGGGGAACCAGCTTTTAAGCCAGATCCCCCCAGCACTGGCTCCTGCTCTCCCCCCCTTGCTGCCTCTAATACAGACGAGTCACTTGCATCCCTACTACGAACATTTACAGGGAATCCTCACTTTCAGTAATCCTGGCCAGGGCCTTTGAGCCCAATTGAGAAGACCCAGCAAATGCATTACCAGGGCAATTATAGCCTTTTGCAAGCAAAGAAAGCACTTACTCCATTCTTGGCTGCCAGCCACAGGTATTTCAGAGCCTTTTGTGTCACAGCCTGTGGTTCCTTCATGTAGAGCACCCCCAAGTAGGCCTGCGCCTGCAGCAAAACCACACAACACAAATTACTGGGAGATAGTCTATTATGTTTATCCAGGTTTTTAGATCATGCCCCTCACCACTGCATCTGCATGCCTAGTGACTGGACCCTGGGGGTGTCAAACCACTGCCCCTGCTGCCAAAAGCAGGGTGTTTAGTGAGAGGAGAAAATCCTCTCTGTTGTCTAGCCCTGGGAAGGAAAGGGGATGTTGCGAGAGGATACACCTAGGCCTCTTTCATGGCACAAATGGAGACTCCACGGCTGTGTCTAGACTGGCCAGTTTTTCCGGAAAATCAGCCGCTTTTCTGGAAAAAAATGCCAGCTGTCTACACTGGCCGCTTGAATTTCCGCAAAAGCACTGACTTCCTACTGTAAGAAATCAGTGCTTTCTGCGGAAATACTATTTGGCTCCCGTTCGGGCAAAGTCCCTTTTGCGCAAAAGGGCCAGTGTAGACAGCAAAAAAGCCCCGATCGCAAAAATGGTGATTGGGGCTTTTTTGCGCAAAAGCGCGTCTAGATTGGCACGGACGCTTTTCCGCAAAAAGTGCTTTTGTGCAATAGCGTCCTGCCAATCTAGACGCTCTGTTCCGAAAATGCTTTTAACGGAAAACTTTTCCATTAAAAGCATTTCCGGAAAATCATGCCAGTGTAGACGCAGCCCACAAGTGTATCAAAAAAGGCAAAAGGCAATGAATCAGTGTGCTTGGAGATAAATAGCCTTTACTTCGTAATACAACCACTGCACTAACACCCAGGTAACCCTTGCATACACCACTGTCCTGGGCAAACAGAGTCACATGTGTGAATGACCATGAAGACCTGACCATGAGCTATTATCCCCAAATTTATAGACTGTCACTTGTACAGAAGCTGTGCAGAATCTGGTCTCACCTATGAGACAGACTACCTAGGCTAGTCCAAAGATTCCAGTAGCAGGTCCAGCAGATTGGAAAAGTCCATGCTGGACAGAACACAGCATGATGGCCCAGAATGGGTCTGCTAGAGACCCAGCGCTGTTTCTGCCCCAGGAGCAGAGCTGGCTGCAGGTGCCATCGTGTGCTATTGCACCTGAGTGTCTCCTCCTCCCAAGATCTGAGCACTGGCTAGTGAGTCTCCGAGCACTGCTGCTGTGGAAACGTCACAGGCAGCTCTCTGCACAAAGGTGAAAAGCCGTGGATCTGATGTGAGGGTAGACACACCATGTGAACTGAATCAGCTGAGGCTGATGCTGACCTCTGGCAGTGAGACCTGCCCCTGGCCTTTTAGGGATCTGTAGGTTGCCTCTGTTCAGATGGCTGTCAGGGTCTCAGCTTGGCAGCTGAAAGGGGGCGGTGTCCCTATTGGCAAGCTTCTTTTGGCCGCTGGTGTCAGAATCCACAGAACAGGACCAAAACCTTGATACCAACTCCTGGATGCTTGGCATTGGAAATGAGCCCTTTTGAGAGCATGTCAAGAGCTGGCTCCTCCTGCTTCTCTGCTTGTGTGAGCTTAGTAAAGGCCTAATCCAAGGGGAATCAATGATGACAGAAAAGGCACTGAGCATGCATGTCTATCACAAGCCTAGTCCCACACTGGGATCTGGGGCTTGACCTTCCCTGAACAAAGAGCCAAACCCACCTAACATACAGCCAAACCCTAAAGCTTCTGCACATCTAAAAATGCAAGGCAGGAATACGCCTTGCTGAGGAGATGACATAACGTGCCACTGCAACTAGCTTCCTCTGGCATGCCCTACACGGGGGCAAGAAGGACACTCCCTACAGAGGCCCTGTGCTGTGCAGAGGGGGTTCCTACTCAAAACATGCAGCAATAACCCGTGTGTTGCAGAGACTCACCTCCACTAGTCCTGTTCCTGCTGCCTTCTCCAGCAGAGCCACAGCCTTCTGCACATCAGCTCCTTTAGTTTGGAGCCCATGGCGTAAGAGGAACTTGGCATAGCGATACTGGGCCATGGGGTGCTCATTGCTGGCTGCACGATGGTAATAAAGAGCTGCCTGGAAACAGAAAAACATTGCCATGAGCACCAGGAAGTGTGCATGTCAGGTTCCCAGGCACCTCTGTGAGGAGGCTGCTAATTGTCACTGTACCATACTTACCCTAGCATAGGAATGTTAGACACTGTGTAACTGAAAACTGACATAACTGCACCAAATATTATTGGTGGCATGATTATTTGATAGTCCCCGGGGCGGGGCTGACAGCCAGTGTGCTCGAAGCCCAGCAGTACAGGGTGGCAGGCAGGAGCTGGTCCATGAGAGAAGTCGGTTTAAAAACCTGCTGCCTGCACAGACCGGCTACCGCCTGCTGCCCCACGCTGCTGCCTTTGATACAGAGACAGCAGCGTGGGGTGGCAGCTGAACTCACCATCAGCAGAGGCTACACTAGCATCCCACAAAGCAGCCTCTGTCCATGGTGAGCCTAGGCCCGATGCAGACAGAGGCTGCTCTGCAGCAGTAGCCCATCCGTGGGGGGGCTTGAGCTTCCTGCAGACAGAGACTATGTTAGAATCCCACGGAGCAACCTCCCCTACCTCTCTCCCCACACTGCTGCCTTTGATAGAGGCAGCAGCAATGGGGGGAGGGTGGGCAGGCGGTGCTCACGGGGATCTGGCTTCTAAGCTAGCTCTCCCCCGAGCACCAATTCCTGCCTGTCCCCTGCCTCCATGGGAGGCAGTGGCGTGGGGGTGTTGTTGTGTAGTTGATAGGATTAACCGATAAGTCACATCAATTAATCATGCAGTCAACTACATGCTGACATCCCTACTCTGGCATATGTTTGCATCCAAACTTCCTTTCCAGTTCTCATCACAAGCTACGCATACTCCCCCAGGTGGCCATTAGCAGAAATACTGTCCTTATGAGTGCAGCCTCCTTCACACCCAGTACCCTGCAGCTCTCAAACATGCACCAGAAGCATGAGACTATTCAGGTGAGATCCTGCTTCTCGGGTATGATCACCAGGGAGAGAACTGACTACAGGAGACACAGTTTCTCCTCAAGTATACAACATTTCTCAGGGATGCTCCATTCCTAAGCACATAATGGCATCACTGCCCAATACACAGTCACACCCACCCGCTGCAGCCAAGTCCCATCACGACAGCCCTGCGTTAGCTGCACCAACTGCTCACACAGAAGAGTGAAGGTAGGCAAGTGGGAGCTGAGGACTGCACCCATTCCTTTTTTCAAGCTACAACCCATATTCCACAGGGATAGCATCAAACCAGTTACACCAAAGACTTTTCTATGCCTGGAGATTGGCATAAGGTCCAGCTAACCTGGTTTTGTACTTCCTTTGCACCAGCTGAGTTGCACAAAATAGCCACCGCAGGGGTACTGCTAAGACCAATGCTCCCTAGGTCCAAGATGTGCATCTCAGTGCACCCACATATGGTTCCTGTTTTACACATAGTAACTGGGCCCCTAGTATTCTCTCAGCCACTACAAGTGGTGCATACCTTAATGCAGGGCTACTCAACACGCAGCCCACGGGCCGCACATGGCCCACAGCCTCTTTGTATGTGGCCTGCGGTGCGGTTTGGGTTTACGCAGGGCTCATACAGGTGGGATCCTTTGAACATGGCCTCCACTGGGAACATGCTCCACAATGGCAAGGTGTCTCCCAGGCAGGGTGAGCACTGAAAGATGCAAGTGGACAGGCTGGCTGGAACAGACACGTACAGAGTGTTGGCATTTCTAGCCCCCAGGGAAGAGGTGCCAGGAGTGCTCAGGCACTGTGGGAAGTGCTTTGTATTCATGCCTGTCAGTTTGAAATAAGCTATTTGCATATATACGTACATGTAAATGCAACCATACTTAAGTTACAGTCGACTGCATTGTGGCCTTGGGGCTTCCAAAGTTGAGTAGCCCTGCCTTAGTGTCTGGCTCAATGCCCTGAAAGGTTCCCTTGGAAAGGACAGGGCTACAAAGCAGCTTATCCTACCAAGTCACCTAGGCTGTTAAAAAGCCTGGACCAACATACATGCAGCCTAACAGGAAGATGTTTGACTCTACAGCCCTGATATTCTTCCTTGGAATTTCCTGGCTGGAATAATTCATGGCTTGCATTTACATGGACAATACCACCCATGAGAGCCCTGCAGCATGACCCTGCCGGACCTGCTGCCATAATAGCAGGATAAACATTCAAGGAACAAGGTGGGAATGGGTGGAAGTGGATACTAAGGGGCAGGATGGGAGCAGGATTAAAAGAACAGCCCTCTCACACCACAAATGCATGCCTCAGGCCACAGGGACTGTCCCCAGCCCCCAGCCCTGAAGGCAGTGCTGCTGCCAGGACCAGCACAGAAGAAAGGTTGACAATGGGGCCTTATCTGTGCCTCCTCATATCCATATGTGGAATGAATTTTGTTGCTGGCATCAATAAGGAGGTTTTCACACATCACTTCCATATTGGTGCACATCGCAAAACTCATTCTGCACATGGACAGTGTGGGACGTGGGTGGGCTGAAGGGCTACGAGTGTAGGAGGGGCTCAGGGCTGAGGCAGAGGGTTGAGACTTGAGGTGGTATGGGTTCTGGGGTGGGGCCAGGGATACAGATTTTGGGATGCAGCGGGGAGTGAGTGCTCCAGATGGAGATGTGGGATCTAGGGTGGGACGAGGGATGAGTAGTTTGGAAGAGGTGCAGGTTGCCTCAGGGAGAGAGGACTTATCCCCAGTCCACTCTCACTGCAGTAGCTCAGGGGCAGATGAGATGTGCCTCTCCAGTAGGGCCTGACAGAAGAGAGGCACCACTCCATGGCCCTGGCATGTCTGGGCTAGGACCGGAGGGGGGCTGCGGAAGGGGCATCTTTCCCCCAGCTGCAGCAGGCCCATGCCTGGACTGGGTTGGAGCCAGGGAAGGTGTACTTCTCTCCTGTCTGCAGTAAGTCTGGGGCAGTAGGCAGAGATGCTTCCTTCCTGGCCACAGCAGCTCTGTGCTGGGACCAGTGGGAAGAGGCTTCTCTCCCCACTGGTGTGGGTCCGGGGTGCCTCTCCCGAGCACAGAAAGTGTAGTCCCTGTTCAGGGCTTAACAGGCCGCTGAGCTTCTTAGAAGGGCATGCGTGCTTCCTGTACCCTTTGCATGATAATGCAGTTGCTCTTCAGACATTTGCATGGCAGGGTAGGTGTCTAATCCCTTTACACAGAGAAGCCAAGACATAAGGGCTGCTCATTCTATTGTAGGAGTGCATGAGGATCCCGATTCCTCTGCCTGGGTGATTTGGGCTGGTCAGGCAGTCCCCTCACATTGTATGGTGATGCAGAGAGAAGGCAGGTGCTGGTGGGAAGATATCTGCTGAGAGCAGTACGTCCAGCCATTGGTGGAATGCTTTTAATGTTCTGTAGAGGGACTGGAATCCCGCATCTTTCACTGCCATAATAATACAAACACAGTAAAAACCCAAGAAACAATATGGGAGCTGGTGGGAGTGGGTACTGTGGGTCTGAACAGGAGTGGGCTAAAATAATAGTCCTGCATAGGGCTCTGCATTCTATTCCAGGACTTCAGAGGGCCTCCCCACACTCAAGATGTGCAGGGTGCCCCTGTACTGGAAGGCATTCGCCTATGCACACAAGGGCAGAGATGGGAATAGCACCTTGCTGAGGCAAGGCCCCTAGAAGTGAAGTATATCACTGATGCTCCTTTCCCATCTCTGCTCCGACTTGTGCCACTGCAAAACAGGGCTTCCAGTTCTCCCCCCAACCCCAGAAATGCAAAGGGGCAGCTTTGCATGCCACTAGGTACCTTTGCCAGGTCTTTCTCTGTGCCTCTGCCATGCTCATAACACAGGGCCACGTTGAACTGGGCTTTGCTGTAGCCCCGATCTGCTGCCAGTTTGAAGTAGGAGTAGGCTGCCACGTAGTGACCATCACTCACACTCTCAAGCCCTGGGGAGGGAACAGTGCACATCTGGCAAAGCAGGACAAACGCAGCAGACAGAGCAGGGTCATGGAGCTCCTCCTGCCTCACCCATGGCAGCTGGCCCCACTGCACCTTGCCAAATTTGCCATCTCAAGCTCTGGAGTTCAGGAGGTGGGAGGGACCAATGGCCAGTGTTCTCTGTAAGCTGTGCGCTTGGATGGCCACCCAGGAGAGATTCATGTGCCACTCAACTGATTAATGGAGCACCCACAGCTGGCAGCACGTGTTTCTACTGATGGTGCACAGCCACACATGCCTTGGAGCACATAATAAAATTTATTCTGCACATGGATGAAAAAAATTAGAGGGAACAATGCCAATGACCTGACTCCATGTTGGAGGAGTGGGACTCTGGCCTCATAACCAGTCTCTCTAATGCTCCAGTCTCCCTGTCATTTCATTCCCCAGTTCACTGAAAAGCAGGGTGAACATCAGTCAGAGATGGCACTGAAGAATCTGCAGAGGCTGAAAATGGTTGCAGGAACACTCTCTGGAGCAAAATCAGGAACAGGGAAGAGGGGCCAGGAGAACAGCCAACTCACCAAAAAACCCCTGGGAAACAATGCTTGTGTTGAAGCTTTCATAGGCCACAACAGCAAGAAGATGGAGCTCTTCCATACGCTACTGTCCCACACACTGCCTCTCCTAGGACGTACAGCTCAGCATTTCCTTCTCCAGTTTGTGAAACTGGTTACCACCTCGGGCAGGGGAGCTGCAAAACTGGGACAGGTACTGTGGGCAAGGTGAGGCAAAAATGGCCATTGCTGTCTAGCGGTGTTGCTCTGACAGCTTTTAGGATGCAACTATTCCAGGCAAGAGAAAGGCAGCCATAAGTCAGGAAGCAGGTCTTTCCAAACACAGTTAAACTTTGTCTGGCACAGGGATCTAGCTCCCTTCTGCCTTACACAAGACCTGCAAAATGTTCGAGGCCCTCCAGAAAGGAGAAGGTGTGTGGGTATTCCTGTCTCTATTCTAAGCTGCAGATAGCAGGAACACAATAAAGCCTGGTCCATGTTACCAAGGATATTGAGCGCAATGGAAACGCTGACCCGGAACACCAGTTAAACTTTGTCTGGCACAGGGATCTAGCTCCCTTCTGCCTTACACAAGACCTGCAAAATGTTCGAGGCCCTCCAGAAAGGAGAAGGTGTGTGGGTATTCCTGTCTCTATTCTAAGCTGCAGATAGCAGGAACACAATAAAGCCTGGTCCATGTTACCAAGGATATTGAGCGCAATGGAAACGCTGACCCGGAACACCTGGCATCCCTGCCGTGCTGATTTCCCCTGCAGAGTGGAAAATGACAGCCCCTAGAAGGGAAGAAAATTAGAGGAGCGTTAGCAAATCTCCTCTTCCCAAGTCTCATGGCAGCTACTGTCATGGCTGCCAGAGCACCTCCCCATGTTAGGGCCACATTATATCTACGAGGGTGTCATGGCATTTGGGTTCTAATAGGTAACAAAAACCTCCCCACCCAGCTTCATCAGGCCAGAGAGCCACCACAACACACCCCAGAGTCATCCTCTCAGGCCGGGGAGCTGCAGCAAAGCACCCCAAACCCAAACAGGCTTCTCAGGCCAGGTAAGACGCCTCAACACTCCCTTAACCTACCCAAATGCCCTTGTCAACCAGAGATTCCAGTTCAACATTCCCTGCTCCCATGCAGCCTTCTCAGGCCACGGGATCCATATGGTCAAGCACTGTGCATGGGTGCCAGCTTGATCCATCTCCAGCCTTGGGCAGACCACTCAGGTCAGGGGAGCGCTCTGTAATCTCTTAGGGTACGTCTACACTGCCACCCTAGTTCGAACTAGGGGGGCTAATGTAGGCATTCGAAGTTGCAAATGAAGCCTGGGCTTTAAATATCCCGGGCTTCATTTGCATCTTGCCGGGTGCTGCCATTTTTAAATCCCCCTTAGGGCGGACTCCGTGCCCGCAGCTACACGTGGCACAGAGTAGGTAGTTCGAATTAGGCTCTCTAATTCGAAATACTGGTACACCTCGTTCCACGAGGAGTAACGGTAGTTCGCATTAGAGAGCCTAATTCGAACTACCTACTCTGTGCCACGTGTAGCTGCGGGCACGGAGTCCGCACTAAGGAGGAGTTAAAAATGGCGGCGCCCGGCAAGATGCAAATGAAGCCCGGGATATTTAAAGCCCAGGCTTCATTTGCAACTTCGAATGCCTACATTAGCCCCCCTAGTTCGAACTAGGGTGGCAGTGTAGACATACCCTTACTCAGCAGCATTTCAGTAGAATCCCGGAGAGCCCCGCAAAGGCAGAGCCTGTAACTCTCTCTCTCTCTCAGAAAAATCATCTGTTCATCATCATATGTGGGGTCTCCTTACAGCAAACATGGAGCAGCCCATTTCCTGCAGCTCTAAATCATTTACACGTAAGTAGCCCTGACAACATTCTGCTCCTCCCTTATCCTTCTTCTGTATTGCTTGTCTCCTGCTTCTCTGATAATTAGCAGCATCCCCTATTTTGCCTAGTCAGGAGTGGGAGGGAGCTAGGCTTGGAGTAATTATTTCCTAGCAACTATGACAGTTTGGTTCCACCAAGTGGCAGCAGTAAGTGCTGAAGCTCATTTCAGATTATCTCCATGCTACTATTTACAATGCAGTTTTACTCTGGACAAGGATAGAAAGGCCTCTTCTCATCCAAAAGGTTTGCTTCCTACCTGTCAGTCAGAGCTACCTTGAGCAAACAAACACAAGTTTCACTCCTTCAAGCACTGCAGAGATAGCCCCGGCATGGAACAGGGAGTTGGATCCATGCCCATAGGCCCTGCAGAGCCAGGCAGCCATCTGGGATGCAAAAGATAGTGCAGAAGTAGGTCTTTAAAAGCAGTATGATAATACCTTAGTCTATCCCATGCTTTTCAGCACATTGGGCTACCCACATTCTCCAGGCTTGCTTATCAGCTGCCATGTGACCTAAGTCCTCCTCTGGGGACTTGGACTAAGGCAGTCTTGATTCTGATATTTCCTAATTTTTGTGGCTTGTTTGCATTCTGTGTGATATGTACATACAAGGGATCCTGCTCCTCAGGGGGTCCTGTTGGTGTAGCATTTCCACAGCAATACTGTGTGTGCAGGGCAGACTTGAAGGGCAGGAAATCACTACACACAATCTATAGTCCCTCTCTGTGGAAAGAGGGGAGAGGTGCCATAGCTCTGACTCCTGCTCTGTGACCATGACTCTCCCTGGACAGTGCATCAGCCAGGCTGCATTGGAAAGAATACTGAGCACTGTTTTAGGACAAGCTCTTCTTAAAGCCAAATAGTTACACAGAAACAAAGAGACTGTACTTGTGCACTGCAGTGGGCTGGCTCCAGACTGGTGCTCCAGCTCTCAGGGAATGGGCACTCCTCTGCAAGGAGAGATCAGGGTAAGGTATGGACCTGAGACAGACCAGCAATCCTGCAGTCCCTCTGCCTCCCGCATTCCACATCACTCCACTCTAGAGAATTGGATCCCATCCCTGTTCTGCAACACAATTCCTATGGGATGCTAAGAAAATCACTGCACCCAAACTTGCACACTCACTGTGAGTTCCTCATTTCCTGAGTGCCATCCTGAGAACCTGGGTCTGATGCAGAAGCTCTAAGCACCCACAACTGTAACAGAACTCAACAGGACCTGTGCTTTGAATGTATAATTCTGAGTACTCTGAAAAATCAGGAATCCAAAATTAATGAACATTTTCTTCTTTAATCTGCCTGAGCCCTCATGCGTAAAGCAGAGATAATAACCCCTTGCTGGTTCACAAGCATTGTGAATATACATTGGATTGTGAACTGCTCACACACTAGAGTCACAAGAGCCAAAACCAATGAATTCTGCTATCTTCAGTGTAGGGTTTGGCTGGTGGCACATGCTTCACTGAGAATACATACTGCACAGTTTGCCACTAGCCAGCCATCCAGTGAGCACTTTCCTGGACGATATCACCAGCCTCCCTTCTCCGCTGCTCTAGGGCACTCCAGATGCCTCACACTCCGTGACATCAGGAGCTGGAACATACGCTCTAGTTCCAACTGGAAATATTTTGGGGATGTCTCTGGCCCAGTGGTCACCAACCAGGAGATCGGGATCTACTGGTGGATCTTGGAGCCTCTGACAGGGGATCCTGACTGACTTGGCCAAGAGGCGGCACTTCATCTGTCCCCCACCCCGCTGCTCATCTCCTGCCCTTTGCCTTGGAGCTGCCCTTCCCCCTGGGGAGCCTCCTGCTTTCCGTGCAGGACAGGGGAGGCAAAGGAGTGTGCTGATGTCATGATGCCCCCTCCTATTCTCTATCCTATCTCCACACAACAGGACTTGGGAGGGAGTTTGTTGGCTACTTTAGGGAGTGGGCCAGGGCAGGGGTGAGCCTGCCTTAGCCCCACTGCACCACCATCCAGGAGCCGCCTAGGGTAAGCAGTGCCCAGCTGGAGCCCACATCCCAAACTCCTACCCAGTCATGAACCCCCTCCTGTACCCCAAACTCCTGCCCTAGCACCGAGCACACCTGTATCCAAATGCCATCCCAGAGCCTGCACCTAGAACCCCTTCTACATCTCAACTCCCTGCCCCAAGAGCAGCTCAGAGCCCCTCTCATACTCCAGATCCCCTAATCCAAGATCAGAGCCTGCACTCCAAACCTCTGCCCCAGTCTGATGAAAATCAGCGAGGATGGGCAAGAGAGGGAGGATGGAATGAGCACAGGCGGGGCCTCAGAGAAGAGGCAGGAGGGAGGTGAGGCAAGGGTATTTATACTTGAGGTAGATCTTGGATTGCACTTAAATTCAAAAAGTGATCTTGTGCTTAAAAAGGTTGGATTCCACTGCTCTAGCCTGTGCTATACAGGGGTTCAGGTTGGATGATCAAAATGGTCCCTTCAAGCCTCAGAATCTGTGACTCTATGAATCCTCCTCTTCTTAGTGACATCAGGATTTATGGCTTATTACAACAAACTGTAACCCACTAACACCCTTGTTTTGTCCTAGGACTGCGAGGCTACGTCTACACTGCAGGATTCTTGCGCAAGAACTGTTTTTCACAAGAGCTCTTGTGCAAAAGGTCTTCCACAAGAGAGCATCCACACTGCCATGTGTTTTCACACAAGAGATGTATGTGCTTTTGCACAAGAGCATCCATGGCAGTGTGGATGCTCTCTTGCGCAAGAAAGCTCTGATAGCCATTTTAGCCATAGGGGTTTCTTGCGCAAGACAATCATGTTGCCTGTCTACACTGCCTTCTTGTGGAAGAGCTCTTTCCTCATGGGGAGAGGAATAACTCTTCCGGAAGAAGCCCTGTTTTCCGACTTTACCTGCGTAAGAATGCGTGTGCAGTGTAGACACCCGGCAAGTTTTTGCGCAAGAACAGCTGTTCTTGTGCAAAAAGCCTGCAGTGTAGACGTAGCCCCTAAGGATGTTAATGGGCCTGTGACAGATGGCTGGCTAAGCCAGAGCTCTGCCACTATAGCCTGGCTAAAGAGGCTGAGGGGAAACAGCTGAGCAAGCCCAGGCCTGAAGGGCTATTACAAGCAGCTGTGGTTATATAAGGCAGAGGAAGGAAGCCAGCATGGGGGTAAGGAGGAGCCATGATGTGGCTGAGTGTGTTCCCAGGTAGACAGAGGAGCTGGCTGAGTTCTTTGTAAGCTTTGTAATTAGAAGGTGGTGGGAACTAACAGTAAAAGCATGGGTGACTGCACCAGAAGCATCTCTGGCTGATTCATGGACCAGGTGTCCCAGACCAAGCGGCCTGAGAGGGGATTCTGCACAGAGTAGTTTCATAGTGTGTATTCATGACTTATGATAAACAATCTGTTGACCTTCCATTTTGTTGTGACACTGGAGGTTCCTTTCCTAGCTTTGGAGAAGAGCTTTTTGGCTCAAAAGCTTGTTTCTCTCACCATCAGAAGTGGGCCCAAGAAAATACATTCCCTTGTCTTTTTAATAGCTTGGGATTGATATGGCTACAACAGCAAGACCCAATGATGGGTCATTGACAGGGAGCCTTCCAACACTCCCTGCTTTTACTGCTCCTTACAGCACGGGTGGGCAATAATCTTTAAAAGGGAGCAACTTCATACATTTCTGACGTGGCCCCAGGCTGCTCTGGAAGCAGCAGGGCCCTGGGCGGAAAGGTCAGGGTCAGGAGACTTCTCATGCTTCCCCACACCAACCCTGATTGGCCTGGGGGTGGGAGAGTGCATGAAGTCTCATCTCTCACCTCCCTGCACCTAGAGAGAATCACCAGGGCTGTGTCTAGACTGGCCAGTTTTTCCGGAAAATCAGACGCTTTTCCGGAAAAACTTGCCAGCTGTCTACATTGGCCGCTTGAATTTCCGCAAAAGCACTGACTTCCTACTAAAAGAAATCAGTGCTTTTTGCGGAAATACTATGCTGCTCCTGTTTGGGCAAAAGGGCCAGTGTAGACAGATGAGATTTGTTTTCCGCAAAAAAGCCCCGATCGCGAAAATGGCAATCGGGGCTTTTTTGTGCAAAAGCGCGTCTAGATTGGCCACGGACACTTTTCCGCAAAAAGTGCTTTTGCAGAAAAGCGTCCGTGCCAATCTAGACGCTCTGTTCCGAAAATGCTTTTAACGGAAAACTTTTCCATTAAAAGCATTTCCAGAAAATCATGTCAGTCTAGACGTAGCCCAGATGTTTTTAAAATAGCTGGCAGTTCCCTCTAGTCACAGTAACAGGAGGAGACCTTGCGCGCTCCCCCGTCCCCAGGCCAATCAGGTGCCAGGCGCGGGGGAGTGTGCAAAGTCTCTCACCCCCTGCCCACGCCCTGCCAGTGGCACGCGGTGGCTAGAGAGAAACACCGGCTGTTTTTAAACATCCAGCATTTCTCTCTAGTGGCCACGCACCCTTAGCAGGTGGCAGGGGAAAGACTTTGCATGCTTCCCTGGCCCAAGGTCTTGACTGGCCTGTGGGTGAGGGAGTGACAGGGTGGCTGTGGGCTGGATCAGGCCCGCAGTGACCTCTTTGCCCACCCTTGCCTTACAGCGAACAGTAAGGGGCTACAGCTCTTATGCAGGCTCATTCTGCCCCCCAGGACTTCCTGTCCTATACCCCAGTCCGTCAACAAACTGACAGGGGCCCACAGAGCTTTCTCACTTTGCCCACTACTGCCCAGGTATGTTGGGAAAACCCAGTTGCTTCCTTGCAGCCCCTTGCCATGACCCTCACAGAGGAGGGTGTTGGTTGTGAGGATGAGTCAATTTTGCTGCTGGCACCCTCCTTCCCAGGCTTACATTTCTTCTTAGCAGATGCCTCTCCCCTCCTCTGGCACCCATACATCCTTTCCTGAACAGCAGGCACTTTTGGGGATGAGCAGAAGGTGGTGCGGGGGAAGTAGGGGTTGCAATGATAATTTCATTGTGTACATGGTGGCACTAATAAGCCTGGGAAGATCCCGTACCCCCACAACTGGTTCAGAGAATGCAAAATCCATCAGAATTTGAGAGCAGTTTTCCCAATTGTCAATTTCCTTCACTGTTAAAAACATGCACTTTATTTCCAGTATGGATTTGTCTGCTTTCCGCTTCCAGCCGGCAGATCCTTCTACTTTTTACTGCTGCACTGGAGTCCTCCTCTCTCTGAAGTCTCCTTATGCACAACTAGCAGCACATGTTACCTCCTAACCTGAGATATGCCAGAGAGTTGGGGATCTCACCAACTCTGACTACAAGGCAGGTTTGCTACTCCTCAAATTGCTCTTGAGGCTCCTTCCTGGACTTTACCAAGTCAACACCCCTTCTGAATCAAGGACACCAGAACCAGACGTAGTGTCCCAGGCACCAAGGCCAATCAAGCCCACCACCAGTTGTACCATAGGTTTCTTCCCCAGATCCAGGAGACTCCCCAAAATCCGTCTGCCTTGGGTACCCAGCCCCATTCAGCCTGGGCCAGTACCTGTTTCTGGGCACATTTGGTACTCTCCTTTCCCTGAGGGGATGCCAGGGGATGGATTCCCTGACGCGGTGTCTGGAATTCCTTTCACCATGAAGCAGGGTACCCTCTGGTTATTGTGGCATGTGCATGAGCCAGCAGCTGGCGCTGAAATACAAAAGACAAGCCTCACCACCTGGAAGCCCTGACACCTGGGGGACATGCCTGGAGTCACCCCACTCAATGTACAGCAGTGCCTGGACCCTCTTGAGCTTTTGCTCAGAGTTCTCCCATCTCTGTCAGGAGAAGACGTTACTCCACTGAGTCCAGGGCAGGGAACACAAGGAACCCATTGTGTTCCCTTGAGTATTTCAGCCCAGAAGGTGCCCAACCCAGTGTAAAGAGATAGTGTGTTTCCCAGAAACATGACTCCCAATTTCCCACTGACAGGTGCCATCTGCACAGGGGCATTACAGCCCTTCCCATACTCTCACAACACTCAACCAACAGTCATCTTAAGCCCCATCCTACTGCTGGAGGCAGAACTGACCTGAGTACTGATGGGGTAGCACAGAAGGGAGGAGCCTGCCCACCCAGGGATGCCTGCCCTCTCTTCCTGCCCCTGGTACATGACTCAGCCATGGGATCTGCCTGGCCAGCTGCAGAGCAAGCACAGTTAATGCACCCTAAAGGAAGGAAAAGATGAGTCAGAGAGAACAACCATCTCCTCTCCCCTCAGCATAGATTTCCCCCTTTCCACTGGGCACCCAAATGCTGAGAGCTCCTACCCACAGCTCTCCACCTATACAGCATCCCAGCTGCAACTTCCTACCACTCTGCCACATAGCATCCCCATCCATCCCCGACTCCTCTCCCGAGTCCCACAAGGCATCTCAGGCTCAACTCCCCACTTCACTTCAGAAGGGAATCCACACTCCTGCAGGGCATTTGGGTCAAAGCTCTCTTGCATACAACCTAGCTGCAGCTTCTCCCCCCAACTTCTTCATCACTTCTAGAAGACATCTAACTCCCTATCTGCAGCCCACAGGGTGCCTTGGCCACAGCCCCTTTGTAGCAGTATGCACTGGCTGCAGCCCCTCCCCAACCACCAGAAGACTATTGCTTACCCAGGTGAAAGCATCCAGTACTGTGTAGTGAGCCTGCAGGTCCAAGGACTGCTGCACATTCTCTTCCTCCCAGCTCTGCCTGCTGGATATGAGAAAGTAACTGGAAAACAGGTGAAACTCCTTTCTCTGCAAAAGTGGGTGAGACAACGAGCTCTCTAGCATAGAGGGGCCAACCCACAATACAGTTGTCAGAGTTTTCTGTTTAGATCTGAATTTTCAAAAGTATCTACAATAAATGTCAGGCGAAGTCTTATTGGGGACCCAAGGCTGGTCTGCAGTGCAAATCTGGGATCCATCGAAGCAGGGTCAGGAAATCCCCAACCTGATTTTAAAATTTGCAGGTTATGAAGCTTTTGGCAAAGACCTGGGGAATAAACTATGACCACAACTCACATCACACTAGCACTGTTAGAATTCCAGTTAGTGCTTAGCACTAAGAACCACCAGTCTGAGAAGCCAATATTTCAAGTTCTTAGCCTTTGTCTGGTTCTCCCGGCAGCATGTTGAGCTCCTGCACACAACAGCGTGAAGTGGAATCAGGAAGCCATTGCACCTGTTCATTAGTGCTCTCATTTCTACAGATCAGCCTGAAACTCCCTTCAGACCAGGTGCTATGGGCATAAGCCCAGGTCAATAGCTCATGTGGCTCCCAGGATAAAGCATTCCCAACAACCCCCCACAATGATCTGGCTCTGCTTATCAGCCTGTTGTAGACTGCACATGCAGAGTCAGATTGACTTGAAAATATGAATGGCTTGTAAGGACCACAGACCTGGAGGCATTTGCACGACATTCCCTCAGAAACCTTACACAACAAATTTAGGTTGAATTCATCAAAGTCAACTGTTTAATATCAAATTTACAATGTTGAAGGTGCATGTCCTCACTGGGCCCATGAGGTCGATGGAGTGCATCCCCAGTAGCATGGCTACCTTTGACTTTAACAGTGATGAATTATAGATAGCCATCCCATAGTTCCTGATACCCTTTTGCATTCTGGGTTAGTTTCTCCAGAGCCTAGCCAGGAGCTGCTGGAGCAAGGAAAAATGTTAGAAGGCCACAAACACAGACATGCAGGAATCCATGAGTGGAGTAATTGGCACATGCTAGCAGCAGTCAATTCTGTAGACACAATGGAATGCCAATTCTGGTCTTGTGAGACAAGTGTAGACTGGTGGGACTGAGTAGTTATGCAGCTATGGGACCAAGACCAGTGGCTACAAAACTTTTGCACATGTAAAGCTACTTTCATGGAACTTTGTGAATTCCCTCCCTCCACCCAGAAGCTCAGCAATACCAGAATGAGACCCTCTCTGACAGCTGAGAAGCGAGTGGCAACCAGACAGCTATCAGTCAGTTGAGAATCAATTTGGAATGGGTATATTTATAGTGGGGACTGCTATGATCCAAGCAGCCAGGGCAATCAATATCCTTCTGCTAGGAAGGCTATTAACTCCGGGAAACATGCAGGACATAGTGGATAGCTTTGCTGTGATGGGGTTCCCTAACTGTGGTAGAGTGTCAGACGGAATGCACATCCCTATCTTGGCACCAAACCACCTTACCAAAGAGTACATAAACCACCAGGGGTACATCTCAATGATGTTGCAGTCATTGGTGGATCACCAGGGCCGTTTCACTGACATCAATGTGGGATGATCGGGAAAGGTTCGTGACATGCATTTTTTGGAACTCTGCTCTCTAGAAAGCTGAAAGATGGAACTTTTTTCCCAGACAAGAAAGTTATCGTTGGAGACATTGACATGCCAATAGTTCCCTTTGGAAACCCAGACTATCCCTTGCTCCATATTCAGGAAGCCTAGACAGCAGTAAGGAGCAGTTCAACTACAGGTTGACCAAGTGTAGAATGGTGAAAGAATATGCCTTTGGCCTTTTGAAGGCACATTTTCAGAGTTTATTGACTAGGTTAACTTCAGCAAAAGCAACAATGGGAGTGTGAAGGCTTGCTGTGTGTTGCATAATATCTGTGAAAAGAAGGGAAAAAGTTTCTGGCAGGGTGGGGAGTCCTACCCACTAATTATGAGCAGCCAGACACCAGAACAATAAAGAGCACCATTGAGGGGCACTGCCAATCGGAAAGGTTTTAAAAAGAAGTTTTATGAATGACCAACTAGTGATGTGACAATTATGTATGTTGCTCTTAACGAGGTGCCCCCTGCAGTACATGTACTGGGGAATAAACTATGACCATAGCTCACATCACACTAGCACTGTTAGCCCCTCCCCGAATCCCTCCAGTTGACACAAAGAATAAAGATCCTGTTATTGTGAAATCATGCATTTGTATTTATGAAACATGGGGAATGGAGACAGAAAAGGAGTTCAGTGTGCGAGCACTGATGGGGGAAGGAGGGAAGGGCACAAGTGCAAATGGGTTATTACAATACTCCTGTGTAGCAATCATAGCTATGGGAATGAACGCCTTTTGTTTCAGGAAACATCCCTGGGAGTTGAGTGCAAGGCTGCCCTTGACTCTCCTCCAATTCATCATTCTAGGCTGCCTGAGAGAGCAAGCTATGGAGCATGGTGAGGAGGGAAGGTGGTTCAACATAGGGTGCAGAGGGACTCTGTGCTCCAGAGACTATGCTCTGTGCTACCAGGCACCTTATCAACTCTGTTTGATCTCCCATGAGTTTCAAGATCTCATCCTGCATCTTCCCTCCTCATGTTTGGTGCAAATGATCTGTAACATTGTTCTCCTCCATTCATTCAGCTGTGCTATCAGTGCAGGCGGACTGTACTTGCTAATTAAACATATCATCCCAGGTACATTTTACTCGCCTTCTGATAAGTGATAGCTGAAGTGCTGGATGATCTGTGGGAGTGGGTAATAGACGCACTGTTGCAGCTGCTTTAGGGGAAAAAAATCAAGGCTGGACTGCAGAGAAGAAACACTGTATAACACAGAGGGTTAAATCTATTGCCATGAATGAAGCACTGTACTGCACGAAAGGCATGTGTTATGTACTAGGGATGTTAAATATCGGTTAACTGAATAGTCGAGTAACCTCATGAATTCTTATTGGTTAGTTGGCTACTCTATAGTACCCGGGGCAGTGCCAGAAGCCAGTGTGCTCCAACCCCACTCCTGAGGAACCCCCTGCCACTCCACGCCGCTGCCTCTGTATCAGAGGCAGGAGCATGGGGTTCCAGGCAGGAGCTGGTCCACAATGGGAACCAGTTTAAAAACCAGCTCCCCTCGCAGACCGGCTGCTTGTTGCCGTGTCCTGCTGCCTCTGATACAGAGGCAGCAGCATAGGGTGGCAGCAGCCTCTGTCCAGGGGAGGGGCTGAGCTCTCGACCTGGCATGAGCCAGAACTGAACCAGGCTGCTTGGCTCCTAATACACTTTAAATGCAGAGCCTCAGCGGGGGTAGGTCCTGGGCTGCCGGCCAGCCTGCTAAAAAATTTACTGGCAGGTGTGGGTGGGTGGGTAAATGTGTGTAGTCTATAGCATTAACCGATAAGCTTCTGCTTATCGGTTAATTTACTACACTATTACGTCCCTATTATGTACAAAGCTAAAGTTATTTTAAGCATCTACCAGGCAAGTACAAGACACAATACAACAGGGTACAGCTGGACTCAGTTTGTGGCAGGCACGGTAAGCAACAGATCAGGGTTCTAGCTCTTTTGCTTCAGCTTTGAAAACACACGTGACACAATGCTTACAAAGTACAGCCCTCATGCTATGTAGGTATGTGCATTTACAAATGGGTCGCATTCATGAGGGACCCTGCAAGGGGCAGGAAACTGGGCTAATGTGTAGGGGCTCACATGGTCAGCCTGTGTTTGTCACACCCCCTAGCCACCACTCCTGTATGTGGGGAGGAGAGGGGAGAAGAACCTGTTCGCCAGAATACTCCTTTCAAGCCCTTTGCAAAGAGGGCAGCAAACCTGGGGTCATGATTTGTGGGGCATGACCACACAGAGGTGGATTGCCTCAGTGCTCTCAATTAGAGAGCTTGCCCTATTTCATCCAGGTTGCCATGCACGATATCAGTCTTCTCCAAATCAGAAAGCATAACAAGGAGCAGATGCTGACTGAACGTGTCCAGAAACCTGGACCTTATGCTGCAATGCTTTGTGCTGTAATGATGCCAGATCACTCACTGCTGGCTTGGAGTGGAATGGTGTCCTACTGTGGAGGATGGAATAAGGCAGCCCTCCCCAGAAACCTGAGAAGGATTAAAGAGTACCTCTAAGAGAGTTCTGTGGAGATGTACAGGGAGGATTCCCGCTTTGTCTCCTGACACGTTAAACTCTTTCAGTGAGCCTCCACAAGCTCATGATACCATCTACATGTTTTGTTAGTCTTTAAGGTGCTGCTAGACTAGTCGTCGTTTTTTATGTACGCAGAGTAGCTACCACTGCACCCCTCAGGGCAGATCAAACAGATAAAACCCAACTATTTACCTACATAGCATAATTACAAATGTGAATTCACCAGAAGTACTCTCCCTACCACCAGGGTCTGGAAGCAACGTATTCATGGAGGGGATTGGCTCCAAAGTTTAAAAAGGTCCTGGCTGTCAGTGAGATTGGATCCTCTGCTTGCCTGCTGAGCATTCTCTTCCTCCTCATCTACACTGTGCTCCTCATTGTTGCCTGAGGCTGCCTGAAGTCATTTGGGAGGAATCCATGGACAGCTTTGGGACAGTGGTTGGGTCTCCATTACCCTCCTCCTAGTCCTCCAAATCCCATGCAGCTGCTCATAGAAGTTGCATGTTTGCAGCTCTGACCATTTGCCTCCTTTGTCTTCTGGTACGCCTGTCTGAGCTCCTTTATTTTCACATGGCACTGCTGGGAGTCCCTGGTGTATCCTTTCTCCACCATCACCTGTGTGATTTTGGCATCGATATCAGTGTTTCTTCTGCTGCTTCGGAGTTATGCCTGCACTGATTCCTCTCCTCACACAGCATTCAGATCCAGGAACCCCTGCAAACTCCATGCTGGAGCTCATTTAAGACCCTGGGCATTCATGGTCAGGTGTGCTGCTGAGGTCTGCAGCTGGGCTTGCCATACTGGCCACACAGGAAATTAATTTTAATTTCCCAGG